GCTCATCATTGTATTTCTTTTATTTATTTTCTTTCGAAAGGCTATACTTTCACCCAATATCTTAAAATGTTAGACAAGATTAATGATCCTGATATATTTGTGCAAAACATTGTAAATAAAATGATTAATTAGTTTCTGTCAGAGGACGAGTATAAATAGTCGTCGAATTCATTCATTCAGGCATTTATAATGTCTGAGGAAAATTCTCGTAAACCCGCTTATTTTGTCTTTGACAAAAATTTATGGAAGCTTACCAAACCAAAATATGTACTTCAGTTTTATTTTTGCAAAGAATGTAGGGAAAAACTATTCCATTCGGAAGATAAATTAGTGAGATATGAGAATGGGGTCACTGTAAAGTTTGATTTATGTGAGGATTGTGTTACAAAGAATTGTCGAGTGACCGACATGTGTGTATAAAAGGACAGAATTTTTACCAAAATATTCATTCTTCAAAAATGGTTCTTGTTATCGAGGAAATTGCACGCTTTCTAGACTGTTCCGTCCGAAGCCTAGCCGGACATTTAGATAATCCTCAAACAAGAGTTTGTGTGCTAACAAAATTTTTGGATCGTAAAGTCCGCACAACTTACTTAAATAAGGACTTTGAAAGAAAGACCTTTCGATTTGGAGGTCTTACACGAAAAGGCGCAAATAGAATTCGCGCCTATGGACGCCTAAGACGTCCCTATAATATTAGTATAGCGCAACATTTCTACACTAGACATCGTATACAACTTAAGAACCCGTACCTAAATTGCGTAATCGAGCATCGACCTTGGGCTAAGGATCGTTTTTATCCTATTGAACTACTAGAATTTGTTGATGATGAGATAGAGAAACTCCCAAGTTTGTCTTCGGAATTTTCAGATAAGGAAAAATTTTCTCCTCCAGATAGTCCTGAAATATTTATGGACAAAGAATTTGAAGACGAAATGGAAATATATAGGGGAGACCTTAGCCAGGATGAATGGTAAAACACGCGCACCCTTGAAACACGCGCACCTAAAACACACGCACCCCCATACACACGCGTGTGCACTGAAAATTGATGAAAATTGACAATTTCATCTTCTTTTCCTTAATTTTGTAATTTTACCCCTAAAAAGTGCAACACCTTTTCTTAAATTCTGAAATCTACTACTTTGTCTCACTAATTATGTAAATTTCCCCCTAAAAACTATGTCTTCCTTCCCTTAATTTTTTAATATTTTTAAAATTGTGTCTTTGTATTCTTAACTATGTAATTTTACCCCTAAAACTTGTGACTCCTATTGAATAATTTTTGCAAATTGTATCTTTAAAAATTTTATCACGAATAAAATTAATACAATAATATTGTGTAAATTATTTATAAAATGACAATAAGAAAAAATTTATTGAAAAGAAAAAGTAGAAAAATATTGTAAAAGATAGGAGTATGGCTTCGCCATTTGACAGGCATGCCCAAACTCAACCAGGGAAGTGAGAATTTATACTCAAGTCCACGACTACCGATTTCCAATGTGAGGATTTCCTCACAACATTCGATAGTTGGTATAGAGTTGGGTGCCTGTACCCCTGGCTACTTTCCAACCCCTATAATTACAATAAAATTCTAGGATGACGATTATTAATATGCCCAAAATTTAGTACAACAAAATCGGAAGGGCGGACAATGCCCTTGCCGACATACGGTTTGTAAATTTTTGTGAGGGCTTATATTTCTAACTTATATTTACCCATTTTTTTCTCTCCGTTTTCTGAGTGTGCTGTTCTAATGTTGACCGTATTCTTTTCAGCATACCACTTGAGAAACCGGAGTGCCAACAAACTTTGGTTGTCCACATTATCGTACCCTTTTTCTGGTACAATTCCAACATGTTGTGGCTTGAGGTGATTCATCCTGAAATGCTTCATGCAGGCTGAAGCTATAGTCATGGACTCGCGAAGAACATCGAGCCCATTCGAAACCTCCAAAAATTCTTTCCTGAAGGCTATGAGTGCAGCCATTAAAATATCCACATCGTTGGTACAATAGGCTGCTAGTTGTTCATCCAGATTGAAAGGCTCGTTTTTGTGTTGTTCGAACCATTTATCGAACTGAGCCCTTTTTTCAGGCATCATCCCATTAGCTAGGTAGTCTTCCTTAGTTGGGAAGATTTCCTTTCCATAATTTTTCGGATTGTTGGCCAGGTGGGGGAAGAAAGGTTTGTCTTCCACTTGTAGGGCAAAAGCTGGTACAAGAGAAGCCAAGGGCATAGGCATTAAATTATACGTGTCGTGGAAGATGATCCAACATTTTTTATCATTTTTCACCTTCATTTCATACATTTTGTTTCCATTCTTGATCATATCCGGAGTTAGTCCTTGGAGATACAATGCTTTGAAAACAAGGACCATATCAAACCTTCCCCCAAAATGAGAGAAGGCTACTGTATCAGATGAAAAACTGGTGATCCAAGATACAAAATCGGTCAGGGGATCGTTTGTAACGTTCTGTTGATCCACTTGAGTGTTGGAGAATGGTTGGTGGGAGAAGGTTATAGTTCGATCCTCTCCGCAAACAGAACAGTTGTTGTTTAAACCGTTTCCAATATACTCGGGGCAATTAATTTTTGCTGAAATAAAATTAACTTCATGTAATTTGCCCTTTTCGCCTTGCTTATGCTGCATGGTTTCGAAGTCAAAGGCGATGATCCGGTACGGTTTGGGCTTCCGTGGAGTTAGAGGTTTTATGTAACAACCTCTTTTTGGGTCGTGAAAATTGAAACATGTGTTGCAATATCGTTCAGAACACACGTGTCCATTCCTACCATTCCGATTGTTGACAGTTACATTCCATACTACTCCGCATTTCTCACATTTCTTGGAGTTGTTGCAAAAATTGGATCTAAGGTGATGAGTGTAGCAGTCTTCATTAATAAATTCCTTGTAGCACCCATTGCACAGTTTGGAGTAGTTATTCAAAGGTTGACAAGGAAAACCAGGTCCGATCTTGAGCAGTTCTGACACTTTGCTTTGCAGGAGGCTGAATGATATTTTGACCGGTTGTAACTTGTTTCACAGGCAAGGCAATATGCTTCCCCAAATAAATCACTTGCCCTTCTAACCCCATCAAAATGATTATTGTTGTAATAAAGCAAAATAGGGGTATTGTAATTTTCAATCCCATATTTAAAAATAGGTTTCTCGTCGAATTCCCCAAAAATAAAAACTTTAAATCCACCTTTATTCCTTGAATTCCAAAAGTCCACAACTTTGGGCGTCCATTCTTTTGCATCGTAGGTTGATTGATCAAAAGGTGCTCCCACATTTTCCATTAGATTTTTGGTGTCCTGCTCGAATCGATGGGCCATTCCAAATCGGCTATGCATATAGTCATAGAATTTGCTTCTCGACCAGGAACATATTGAATAGACATAAGAAGCAATAAGAGCATAGAATAAACAATAGTTGTCGGAATTATGAATTTTGATGAGATTCTTGTCGCTGATCCGACGAGTCTTGCCACCACTTCCATTGATGTTACGTGTAGTTTGGAGATTCTTTTTGTCGATACACGTAACTGAAACTGAAAAATTTTCACCCCAGAGCATTCCATTATCCTGTTTCTTGGATTGGGCAACTTTTAGGAATTGATTAAGAATTGAATCCACCGTGTTGGGAGTAATTTCACGGATTGGGATCCAAACGTCAGATTCCAGCAGTTGACTGCTAATGGTACAGCCAAGTTGATCAGGGTCAAGTTGGTTATCCCGGCTGGTTTCTAGTGTCTGATCAATACATTTTTGAAATAGATCCCTTAGCAATCCCTCTGGTTGATCGGGTAGACCAGTTATTAAAAATTTAGTAGAAAGTTTTGTAAGGTTAAATTTTCGGGTAATTTTGGTTTCTTCCCCCAAAAGTTTTAAAAAATCACCTCCTCCTGATTGTAGATCAAGTAGACTGTTGATCATGAAATTCTTTGACTTCTTCGAAGGTGGAGGAGTCATTGTTCAATAATATAATAAAAATAGAGTCAAAAATATAAGAGTAATTCAAATTAGCAAGTTTCCAAGAAATTTTCAAGAATGAAGAAGGAAATGCAAAATCCTCTACTTTTAAGGATCCCAAAATGATTAATGTTTGTCAGAATAGGAATTTCTTTCCATTTTCCTTTTATTTCCAGTCGGGAAGAGAAGAAATTTGCATAAAAAGGGGAAACAAAGGAATTTCAGGAAAATAAAGAGCGCGAGCAAATGGAGTAATGTTGAAAAGTATTTTAAAAAGGAAAAAGCTCAAAATATTTCGTAATATTTAAAATTTGCATAAAAGAATTTTTATGCATCGAGTATCAGCCCCTTCACCTAACTTTGCCACCTTCCCTTTTGAAAACCTTCCTTCGCTCTGTAATGAAACCCCCAGGGATATATATGGACATGTGTTTTGTTGGGGTCTGATTTGCCTATATATTATGCTTATAGCAAGTTTAATCATTTATCAACTTCGCTCAATTTTTTGGCTAAAAACTTATAAAAATAATGTACAACACCCAGATAACAGCAATATTGAGGTCAAACCCACTAACCAACCACCTATTCCAAGGATGCTTCCCGTGTAACAATTTACCCCAGCCTTTGGTAGGGAAAGTTTTAGTTGTAAACTTGGACCCCCAAGGATATCAAGGTTCCCACTGGATTTCAATTTATGTACAAACAAGTGGACAAGTAGTCTACTTTGATAGTTTAAATTTACCCACAAGCATATGCATTATTGATTCATTTTTAAAAGGTTTCTCTGTTGTTGTTAGGAATTTAAAAGGATACCGGTCTTTCACTTCCGATTGTTGTGCTCATCATTGTATTTCTTTTATTTATTTTCTTTCGAAAGGCTATACTTTCACCCAATATCTTAAAATGTTAGACAAGATTAATGATCCTGATATATTTGTGCAAAACATTGTAAATAAAATGATTAATTAGTTTCTGTCAGAGGACGAGTATAAATAGTCGTCGAATTCATTCATTCAGGCATTTATAATGTCTGAGGAAAATTCTCGTAAACCCGCTTATTTTGTCTTTGACAAAAATTTATGGAAGCTTACCAAACCAAAATATGTACTTCAGTTTTATTTTTGCAAAGAATGTAGGGAAAAACTATTCCATTCGGAAGATAAATTAGTGAGATATGAGAATGGGGTCACTGTAAAGTTTGATTTATGTGAGGATTGTGTTACAAAGAATTGTCGAGTGACCGACATGTGTGTATAAAAGGACAGAATTTTTACCAAAATATTCATTCTTCAAAAATGGTTCTTGTTATCGAGGAAATTGCACGCTTTCTAGACTGTTCCGTCCGAAGCCTAGCCGGACATTTAGATAATCCTCAAACAAGAGTTTGTGTGCTAACAAAATTTTTGGATCGTAAAGTCCGCACAACTTATTTAAATAAGGACTTTGAAAGAAAGACCTTTCGATTTGGAGGTCTTACACGAAAAGGCGCAAATAGAATTCGCGCCTATGGACGCCTAAGACGTCCCTATAATATTAGTATAGCGCAACATTTCTACACTAGACATCGTATACAACTTAAGAACCCGTACCTAAATTGCGTAATCGAGCATCGACCTTGGGCTAAGGATCGTTTTTATCCTATTGAACTACTAGAATTTGTTGATGATGAGATAGAGAAACTCCCAAGTTTGTCTTCGGAATTTTCAGATAAGGAAAAATTTTCTCCTCCAGATAGTCCTGAAATATTTATGGACAAAGAATTTGAAGACGAAATGGAAATATATAGGGGAGACCTTAGCCAGGATGAATGGTAAAACACGCGCACCCTTGAAACACGCGCACCTAAAACACACGCACCCCCATACACACGCGTGTGCACTGAAAATTGATGAAAATTGACAATTTCATCTTCTTTTCCTTAATTTTGTAATTTTACCCCTAAAAAGTGCAACACCTTTTCTTAAATTCTGAAATCTACTACTTTGTCTCACTAATTATGTAAATTTCCCCCTAAAAACTATGTCTTCCTTCCCTTAATTTTTTAATATTTTTAAAATTGTGTCTTTGTATTCTTAACTATGTAATTTTACCCCTAAAACTTGTGACTCCTATTGAATAATTTTTGCAAATTGTATCTTTAAAAATTTTATCACGAATAAAATTAATACAATAATATTGTGTAAATTATTTATAAAATGACAATAAGAAAAAATTTATTGAAAAGAAAAAGTAGAAAAATATTGTAAAAGATAGGAGTATGGCTTCGCCATTTGACAGGCATGCCCAAACTCAACCAGGGAAGTGAGAATTTATACTCAAGTCCACGACTACCGATTTCCAATGTGAGGATTTCCTCACAACATTCGATAGTTGGTATAGAGTTGGGTGCCTGTACCCCTGGCTACTTTCCAACCCCTATAATTACAATAAAATTCTAGGATGACGATTATTAATATGCCCAAAATTTAGTACAACAAAATCGGAAGGGCGGACAATGCCCTTGCCGACATACGGTTTGTAAATTTTTGTGAGGGGTTGAGTAATAATTGAACCATCTTTAATAGATGGCCTAAGAAAATTTGGATATTTAATTAAAATTGGAATATTATCAGATTTTGTATAATCAAAAACTTGTTTCTTAAAATTTTCATAGCAGAGACCTTGGTTGTTGATGACATCCCAGTTGAGTGTCATTCCGCGGACTTTGAGAACATAGTCCGGTTCAGTGTTGGGTGAAGACTTCTTTTGGAGCTTCAGTCCATATTGTTTGGCGCCCCCAGAACAGTATTCCAAAATATTAAAGTCTGGGTACTCGTCAGTAAATTGACCCAGATGGGGCCCTAATTCAAGTGGGCAGTTGTTGTCTGGGTGGGAGAAGATTAATGAATCGGTGTCAGTGTAAAGGAGTTGACACCCAGGCGTCCTGACAACCTTCTGCATAGCATGTAGAAGGTGGATTCTCGCTGCTGAGGTGGTCCAGAGCGAAATGATGACGTTTGATGAGTCATGCTCCTCCACCCAGTCTTTTTTCTTGATGTAGTTGATAAGTATTACATCCTCTGTGAGCTCATCAATTGAATTTATCGTAATAGACGGGTCATCGCACATTTTAGCAAGTTCATTTGGGTCGTCTGTAATTTTGCACTGAGAAAGTCCAAAATTACGAAGTGAAAATCGACCCACAAGTTGTTTAGACACAATTTTGCTTGTGTCCTCTTACCCTTATTGGCTGCCATCTTTTCCCTCTCAATCTTAATTCCAAACATTTCGAAACATTCCTTCATAAACTTATCCTCCTTCTCCTTGTCACCCTTGATGGCATTGTCAAAACCTGATGAATGAATTTTTTGGCCCATAAATTCACTAATGTAGGGTCTGAAAAGTGTGTCGTCATATTGTTTAAATTCTAACACCCTAAATAATTTGGTGACCACATACCCCTCCTTGAGGGCCTCGTTTAGCTCAATGGAGGTACATGTGCTGACCCACCCTCTTTGTTGGTCGGTGTGAGGGCAGCAGTAATTCTCCTTGACATCACCATGTGGATGCTCTTTTGCACATGTAGAGCAAAGTGGGAAGAGAAGTCTTTCATCATCATCCTCCCCAATTTTCATAGGTAGGACGGGGATATCAATATTTCGTGGTGGGATGATGAAAAGTTTGAGAAGAGCAAGAGTATAAGTGTTGTCTTCCGGCTTAGTCCAATTGACATCCTTATTTATGACGTGAACTTCAGGATGTCCAACCGGGTACCTTGTTGAGACATTAATAAACGGGTAGAGGGAAGTTACGTCGTAGTAAGAAATTTTCTGCCCCGTCTCAGCCTTGTGGAAGAGTTTGAGAGGACCAGTTCTTCCACCATAAAATGCTGACCTAATATTGATTGGTCCATCATCCAGATAGTTTTTGAACATCTTCCTCATTTCGTAATCTTTTGAAACCATATTACGTATTTCACACTCCCAATATACTTCCACATTCACTCCCAGATTCTTGATAAAATTTATACGTGGTTGTCTTTTTGTCTCTGTTGCCCAGCTGTTAGACCTGTTGGGAGTTTTATATCATCTTCTGGGTAGCACTTAATACATCCGTGCCAGCAGCATCCGTTGACTTCAATAGCCAGTTTCTTTTCCTTGACCCATCCATCTAATTTATATTTACCCATCTTTTTCTCTCCATTTTCTGAGTGGGCTGTCCTAATATTGACCATATTCTTTTCAGAATACCACTTGAGGAATCGGAGGGCCAGCAAACTTTGGTTGTCCACATTGTCGTATCCCTTTTCCGGTACAATCCCAACGTGTTGCGCCTTGAGGTGGTTCATCCGGAAATGCTTCATGCATGCTGAAGCTATAGTCATGGACTCCCGCAAAACATCAAGTCCATTGGAAACCTCCAGAAATTCTTTTCTGAAGGCAATGAGTGCAGCCATTAAAATGTCCACATCGTTTGTACAATAGGCTGCTAGTTGTTCTTCTAAATTGAAAGGCTCGTTTTTGTGTTGTTCGAACCATTTATCGAACTGAGCCCTCTTTTCAGGCATCATCCCATTAGCTAAGTACTCTTCCTTAGTCGGGAAGATTTCCTTCCCATAATTTTTTGGGTTGTTGGCAAGATGAGGGAAGAAGGGTTTGTCTTCCACTTGAAGAGCAAATGCTGGTACCAGGGAAGCCAAGGGCATAGGCATTAAATTATACGTGTCGTGGAAGATGACCCAGCATTTATTATCATTTTTCACCTTCATTTCATACATTTTGTTTCCATTCTTGATCATATCAGGAGTCAAACCCTGGAGATATAGTGCTTTGAAGACCAAGACCATATCAAACCTTCCTCCAAAATGAGAGAAGGCTACCATATCAGTAGAAAAATTGGTGATCCAAGCCACAAAATCAGTTAGAGGATCATTAGTAACATTCTGTTGATCGACTTGAGTGTTGGAAAATGGTCTGTGGGAGAAGGTTATAGTTCGTTCTTCTCCGCAAACAGTACAATCGTTGTTTCCGTTACTAATACACTCGGGGCAGTTGATTTTTGCAGATATAAAATTCACTTCGTGTAGTTTCCCTTTTTCGCCTTGCCTGTGCTGCATGGTTTCAAAGTCAAAGGCGATGATTCGGTAGGGTTTTGGCTTCCTTGGAGTTAGAGGTTTAATGTAACAACCTCTTTTTGGGTCATGGAAGCTAAAGCAGGTGGTGCAGTAACGTTCTGAACAAACATGCCCACTGCGCCCATTCTTGTTGTTGTCCTTCACGTACCATATCACTCCACATTTCTCACATTTCTTAGAGTTGTGGCAAAAGTTAGATTTGAGATGATGGGTGTAGCACTCTTCATTATTAAATTCCTTAGAACAACCATTGCACCGTTTGAAGTAGTTATCTAAAGGCTGGCATGGGTAATTGGGTCCAATCCTAGAGCAATTTTGACATTTTGATGTGCAGGTGATAGAATGATCCTTTGGGCGGTTGTAAATTATCTCACATGATAGGCAATAAGGTTTACCAAATAAATCGCTTGCCCTTCTAACCCCATCAAAATGATTATTGTTAAAATAAAGAAGAATTGGAGTAGTGTAATTTTCATACCCATATTTAAAAATAGGTTTCTCATCCAATTCTCCAAAAATAAAAACTCTAAACTGGCCTTCATTCCTTGAATTCCAATAATCAATCACTTTGGGCACCCATTCTTGAGCATCATAACTAGCTTGGTCAAGAGGTGCTCCTACATTTGCCATCAGATCCTTCGTATCCTGTTCGAATCGATGGGCCATTCCATATCGACTGTGCATGTAGTTGTAAAATTTACTTCTAGACCAGGAACATATTGAATATACATATGAAGAAATCAGGGCATAAAATAGGCAGAAGTTGTCGGAATTCCGGATCTTGATCAAAGCCTTGTCGTTGATACGACGAGTAGACTTGCTACCGCTACCTTGAATAGTTCGTGTTGTCTGGAGATTCTTCTTATCTATGGTGGTAACGGAGACGTTGAAGGGTTCGCCCCAGAGCATACCATTGTCTTGCTTTTTGGATTGGGCAACTTTAAGGAATTGATTAAGAATTGAATCCACCGTGTTGGGAGTGATTTCACGGATTGGGATCCAAATATCAGATTCCAACAGTTGACTGCTAATGGTACAGCCAAGTTGGTCAGGGTTGAGTTGGTTGTCCCGGCTGGTCTCTAGTGTCTGGTCAATACATTTTTGAAATATATCCCTAAGCAATCCCTCTGGCTGATCGGGTAAACCAGATATTAAAAATTTAGTAGAAAGTTTGGTGAGATTAAATTTACGGGTAATTTTGGTTTCTTCCCCTAAAAGTTTTAAAAAATCACCTCCTCCTGATTGTAAATCAAGTAGACTGTTGATCATGAAATTCTTTGACTTCTTAGAAGGTGGAGGAGCCATTGTTCAATAATAAAATCAAAATAAAACCAAAAATAAGAAGTAATTCAAATGTAATAAAATTGTTGAAATTTTTCAAGAATGAGAGCGAAAATCCAAAATCCTTTACTTTTAAGGATCCCCAAAATGATTGATGTTTGTCAGAATAGGAATCTTGGTGAAATTATGAAAAAAGAAAATTTTTATGCAATACAATCTTTTATTTCCAGTCGGGGAGAAGAGTTAAGGAAATTTGCATAAGAGGGGAAACAAAGGAATCTTTAGGAAAATAAAGAGAGCGAGCAAATATTGTAATGTTAAAAAGTCTTTTAGAAAAGAAAGGAGCTCAAAATATTTCGTAATATTTAAAATTTGCATAAAAGAATTTTTATGCATCTCACCCAATTTTTAAGTTCCCTCTTTACAATCCTATACTCTATTTGGAGTAAGGAAGGCTGTCAAGAAGGGCAGCTAAAAGAAAATTTGCATAAAGTAAAGACTTAGGGAAAGGAAAAGCTAGGTTTTAGGAAATATTGCAAAATAACATTTGTATATTTAGGATTTAGGGGTTAACGACGACGTTGGCATTGAATATGTTGATTTTTAGTTAATTTACCTAGGTAAAAATTATTGAGTAATTAATAGAGGGAGGGTAATTATTATTTAATTATTTTAATTTAATTTTTAAATTTAATATCCATTAATTTATTATTTTTTCTTCTCATTCTTCTATTTATATTTATATATTTTTATTTTATATTATTTATTTTTCTCCTTTTTCCTTATTACAGTATTTTTTCCTTCCTATTCTTTTATTTACACCCTTATTTTTTAAAAGAAAAGCTTTAAATTTTTGGAGGGAAAAATTATTGCGTAATTTTTCGGGAAAGAAAAGACGGGATATTTGCATAATTTAAGAAATATCAAAAGGTTTAGGTTGGAAAGGAAAGGAAAAAGGAAAAAGCCTCAAAACCTTTTGGTTAGTTGGTGGGTGGGGGAAGAAGAGGAAAAGCTTCAACAGCTTTTGGTTGGGAGGGTTGGTGGGGGAAGAGTGGAAAAGAAAAGGTTGTTTAATTTTGGGTGGGTACCTTTTATTAGAGAGGGGTGGTTGAGGGAAATAGAGTCTCAAAACCTTTTGGTTGGTGGGGAGGGGTCGGGAGTGAAATGATTTTTTGATTAATTAACTGACAGCCCCCTCTGCCCCCGCGACACGGAGGGGGGGTTAACTACTCCTACTTTTAAGTAAAATATATACGTAATATATGTATGTATCAACTTTAATATTAATTTAATAAATAATTTTAAAAACAGCCACTATAATCCAAAATGGATATCATTTGGCTTTTTCGTTTAATTTTTTTAAATATTATTATTATAAAATATTGCGTAATTGGTGTAAAGGAAAACAATGAAATTGTTAACAATAAAGGAAAGAAAAAGTTAGAAATACATGAAGAAGGATCCAAAAAATCTAATGGTGTCAAGCCGAATCTTCATTTGCCACCATTAGCGCCTAAAACTAAAGGTAGGGCAGGGCTGGTCATACGGGCTACTATCCAAAAATCTTAGATTTTTTAAACGGCATGTTGGGGATATTCCAGAATTTTACCGATTAATTCCTCAAAAAATACAAAATTTGAAGATTATAACAATAGGCAGTCAATATAAATATAAAATTTTAATATTAAAAGTGTATGGGTAATATTATCACTCAGCAGATAAATATAACTTGAGATTATCCAATCATATTTATCTAATCATATTTAAAATCATTATTTTTAGATCGGCAGAGAACCAAGTTGAGGAAAGTAACATACATTAATACAGATATTAATAATTTCAAAGAAATGGTCCATAAAGGTAAAAATTAGAGCAGTTGTAAAATTATATTAAAATTTTTGGTTGTTAGGTTTTTCAGTAGATTTTTTTCTTCTTTCAGTATTTCATTTCAATTATTAAAGCCTAATAAAATAAAGTTTGTGTTCAAGGACAGCTATTTAAATAACCTAGTGCAAAATATATATTTCTCACAAAAACATTTAGAATTAAAAATCTAATTTAAATCCGCCCTGAAACAATTTGAAAATCGCATAACCTGAAATTTCGGGGTGCACCCTGATTTTACCATTAAGCAATTTATAGATTTTTGGGGTTTGCAGAAAAATACTTTTACATAATGTGATATAATATTGAAATTATCATTTCTATTAAAGTAACAGGCTTCCCGGATGAAATATATGACATTAAGCAGGAACATGATAACCTAACTGAAGGTCCTTTTGTAAATAATAATGCAAACATGGATGATTTAGGTAAAGAACATTTATTGCAACAAAATGAACATTCTATTGATGATCAAAAGTATTAAATATGTATATGTAATTGTAATAATAATTTTTAAATTTAGTAACGATGAGGTACCGATATTGGAAAGTAGCGATTTAACGATAACATCTGGAAAAATAAAAATAAATAACAATCTCATCAATCTTCACAATACTCTTATTAAGAGAAAAAAGAAGAAACAAAACAATAATTACATTCATAACAAATATCAAGTTGGAATACCGAAATTGGGAACTAACAATCCAGCATTAGACTCTGAAAAGATTAAACAAGAACAATACGATCATTTTACTCAGAGCCATGATAATTTTATTTCAACTCACTATAATTTTCCTAATGATATTACAACTTCATCAAACCAAAATCACTATTCCTTACAAAATATTCCAATGATTAAACATGAACATCTTGAAAATAATTTTGTGGATTATCCTCATAATTTCGATTTGGACTACTTTAATAAATTAAATCATCATGGTGATTTATCTATAAATGAAGGTCAACAAATATCTGAAATGCATCCAAATAACAACAATTTTGTGAATCCTTATGATAATCAGATACACGGTTATTATAATCAACAACAAGAAATTCAAAACCATCTGCCTCAGAAACATCAAAATCCAACCAATTCAAGTGGTCTTCATTATCAAAATCAATTTGATTATTCTCAACATCCACTTGGAGAAACCTCAAATGGATTATATGTTCAACAACAAAATCAGCTAGACCTCCCTCATTCGCATATGCCTTATAACCAATTTCACTCAGATATTTCACATCATGGTTATGATTATACAAATGCTGATTTCCAATACTTGTTTGGACAACAAAATATAATTGGTGATAATTCAACAGGAGTATTTGGGGAACTTTATGATGAATTTCATAATATTCATCTACAACCCGAAAACAAAAATTATGTTCATGATTATCACAACACTTTACAAGATAATCAAGTAACTGGTTTTGAATTACATGGAACGAGTGTAAGTAATCTTGTAATTATATTTTTGATTACCCAAATTTAAAGGGATACAGCAATAATGTACAGGATAAAGCTAGCGGATCTTCAACTAAATTTGATGGACAGAAAGGAATTTAAGGTATTAGTATATTTATAATGAAAGTTTCTTCTGTAATGTTCTGTTAAACCTTATACATATTTTATAGTTTTTTTTTTAATTTTTAAACGAAATATCTAATTATTAGCAATAAATATTTAAAAAATTCAGATGAAAACAAATTGAAAAAAGAAATTTTGATTGCGATGATGAAATGAGTAAAATATGTACATATGTAAAAATATTTGAATTTAAAAAATTAAAATGGAAAGAGGTTCTAATAAATTTAGCCACAAAGGAAGCTAATTACTTTTGATTGTATTACGGGTGGCCTGGATCTGGATCCAGCTTTGGCTTTTCTTAGATTTAGGGTTAACACCGAAGCATTTTTCAGGGTTCCTTGATCTTAATTTTTCCTTTACTCGAGGTCAAGAATTTGCGGATAAAAAGATTAGGACTACACAATCAAAATCGAGGGCAAGATTTTTCAAATTTCCGATATCTAGGATGATTTTTAAAAATATGGAACTTAAAAGGGAATTGTCTTGCCCTTCTGCTATTTCGCACCTAGAAAAATTTCTACAATAAAAAACTGAGATCCACAATCTTATTATAATTGCTAATTTGGTGTATGCTAAATTTATAGAGCTTCTTTCTTTCATTTTATGAAAAATTTTTAAGTCGCTAAAAGTTAATTTCAATTCCAAAATTATTTTCATTCCATTATTAAATTTGTGCATGTTTATTTTTTAAAACATTGCTATATTATTATATCGGTGATTAATTTTTTTGACTATTTATTGGAATATCCTGTAATGATGATTTTGATTTGCTAATTTTTTATTTTATATTTTTATGAAAACTCCAGGCCCCTATTCAAATTATATAAAGTTTCTGATATCACATGCCATATGATGGCCAGATATGATTTTTATTATGACCAATTTGAACAGAAAATTTACATATTACAGGCCATAAATATGACATGTCATATTATCACAAACTTCATTTTTATTTACATTTTAAAGGGTCAATCAAGATATTCTAAAATAATTTTAAAATCATCAATTTATTTTGTTCATGTTATTTTAAATATCATTCATTAAATTTCACAATTTTCATTTTATTAAAATTTAATTTTTTTATTCGCGTCTTTTATAATTGCTTTTATTTAATTAAATTAAATATCCACATGATGACCAATATAATTATTTACTAAAGCAGGATGAACTAAATTATCATTGTTGTTGACACCAATAATGATTTTAAAACGTTTGTAAATTATTTTAAATGCATGACGGGTATCTTCTCGAATTGTTTTATTGAGGGTTAAATATATTAGAGGTGGGAAACCTAAAAAAATAAAAATATGAGTTTAGTTAAAATGGTGAAGATAATTTAAAACCAGCCAATTAATAAACATACCGTGAATAGCTAACCTGAAATTAATTAAATTTATAGTAGTAGGAGAATAATTTTGTAATGAAGATTTAAATTTAGGCAAGCTGTTTTTGATCATTAAAAGAATCGGCATGATAAAAATTTCTCTGAATTTTTCTCTATTAACGGCTCGAATTTACAACGGTTATTCATTATTTATACTTTTGTGCTTAACTTAAAATTTGATTCTAGTTTTTTAGAAATTTTTAGAAAACACGCCAACACTATTTTAAGAATATTCTAACAATTTTCCTATATTTCCTACAAAATTACAAATAACTAACCATCCAATTCCTGCAGTAGTAAAAATCCATTGGGGAACTTTTGTTAAATAATCCATCAAAACATACAAACCCGCAACAGAAGTATTTAAAAAAGAGATAATAAATACTTGAATAAATGTCTAAAAATTAAAAATAATTTTCTGATTTTATTTTCTCAATTTATTTACATATTTTTCTGATTTAGTCAATGCTGTATTGCTGCCAACTTTTAATGCACGATTTTTAAAGAACATAACAATAGAAAATATTAAATATGTAGATGGAGAGACAATTGCAACAATAAAATTATGTTTTATGATAAGCGACATTTTGTACTACATACATATAAAAGAAATAATTAGTGATCGGGCTGAACCAGATCCGGAAGGAATATTTTCGAGTCAGATATCTAAATGTCTCTTAATCGCCCAATTATTCCCCGAATTATATACTTTTCTAATTCGACCGATCTGTCCTTAATTTTGTTTTTCAAAATTTACAACTTTATCAGCAAGATCATTTCTAAATCCAGTATATGGATTGCCAAACCAAGCAAAATATTTTGGGCTAAAAATCATTGGAGGAGTAAAAGATAAACCATAAAAAGCATAAGAAGAAGAAATTAATAGCCAAATATATGTCCTTTTCCCATCAAAAACTAAGCGAGCCAATGAAGGTGAAACAACAAATAAACAGCGATTGAAAGCCAAAATCTAATAGGTATATTTTGGTTAAATTATTAAATAAATGAATTTAGTTGTACTTATTACAAATTAAATAAATTATTTCCTACCAAGTCTGCGGTAGTTTCTGCTAGCCATAAAACTAAATAGATAATTAAAAATATTAAATTATTAATTATTTTTATTTCTCGTATTTCTTGCTTCCATTATTCTTTTATACGTCTTAATAAGCTTTCCAGAAATGCCATTGATATATTTGAGAGGTCCTAGTTATGACCGAAATAGTTAAAAAATACCTACTCTGAAAGCATACATATTCGATAAGATGTTTATTCGATTTAGAACTTATGGCTTTGGATATTTTACTATAAGTCATTGACAATAATTCTAGTCTACAAATGGTATTTTGGTTAGTGAGGTTATCCTAACAAGGTTCAGAAGAAATCTAGATCTTTATAGCCTTAATATAAAGGTGTTGATCATAAATATTCCGATTTAATTTTTGTGATTATTTTTTATTCTTAAAAATACATACAAACTCCAATCATTCCAGCAAAATAAATTAAATTTGGATAAATACAAAAGGAAGCTCGTTGTAAAGCTAAAAATACGTGAAGAAATCCACAAATACAAATATTTAATAAATCAGTAAATCCAATATATAACAACAATTTATAACAACTTTGAGTAAAAGAATATCTCCAAATAACACAAATGCAAGGTAAATAAAATAAATAGGACAAAATTCCAAGTAGAATTATTATAATACTTTCAATATGGTATGATGGAGTAGAAGTGTCCCCATGTTTAGAGAATTGTTCCATTTCATTAATAATCTCGGTAGTGCAATTATAAAGACGTATATAATCAGAATGGCGAAATATGTAGAGTTCCATAATTAAATTCAGATAATTAAATTCTTTTAGGCTTTAACGTAAATTATGTGTCTTACGGTCTACGAAAGTTGATATAAGATACATATGTCTTCTTATCTAAAAATCCTACAAAATATCGTATACGACAATTGGAGATATGCTTTGGCAGAGCTACCCAGCTTTTAGTCAGATACATAAATCTAAAAAAAGATACATAGTCAGTCGGTGTTCTACACTCTAGTTATATAAACCCTATCAATCTCATTTACTTTAAGTCTCTTATAAGTATATTCATTTAATTGAACTTATAATTAATAATGAGAATATAAAATTATTAAATATTATAAATAATTAAATTAATTTTCTTATTTTTATTTTTAACACAAAAATAAAATCAAATAACAGATTGTTAAAAATGACAGATAAATATATTAATTTGAAAATTTTTATTATTTAAAAAAATAAATTTATATACAGCTTTATACATATTTCCTATTTTTATCTACACCTTTTTTTCATTTTTATTGCACTAATTTAGAAAAAATCAAATTAGTTTGTGAGACTAATAAATGAAAATAAATTATTTTTATTTTTTTTTTTAATTTAATTTTTTAAATTTATTTTTATTTATTTATTATATTAAATTTATTATATTTTAATAAATTAATTTTTAATTATTAATCATTAATGCCCTCTATCCGATAATGGATTTTTTTGTAAAGTGCATGCTATCACGCTTCCCTAATTATTTTTACTTCCGTGTCCTTATTTAAATTTTGTCTAACTTATAGCTTCCGAGAGTTTTTCAAAAGCTAGCTTTCTTGTGTTCTACAAATAGAATTCATTGTGTTTTGCTTAGAAAAGAATTTTTTGTGAAAATCATTTGGCTTGCTTATGAATGTTAGGAGTGTGACGGTTATATGTGGACAATTCAATTCAACACAGTCTCAATTTATAAGTTTATTAAGTCGAAAAACGGAGTAGCTCGACGTCTGCGACACGCTCTGCTACGGCCGCAAACAACAAAATTCAACAATCCATCTGCCTCCTTAATCAAAAACAAAAAATTATTTTGTTGTAGACGTCCTAATTAATTTAACTTGACAAAATAAATCAATTATTTGAATTATCGAATGTCAGACCTTCCTTCATGTAAAATCGAACGCGCTCTTAATTGAATTGATTATTGAATTTATTGCCCTCCTTCAATCATCTAACATAATTTTTAATTCAATTAAAATTTAAATTTTTAAATTATAATTAAAAGGAGAAAAGAGAATCGTTGAAATTAACTTTATACATAAACCTTTTAAAAATATTTTATCAAAATTAAAAAATTAAATTTTTAGAGTTTCAATGAAACTTTTAATATTTTTATTATTTATGTTGATCATAAACACACTTTCAACAACAAATATTTTTAATGCCACTAATTTAAAGCGAAAGTATCTAAAAGCTTTTAATTCTCTGAAAAAAGTTATTTCATGTAAAGCTACAAATGGGATTTCGATTATACCTTTAAGAAAAACAAAGTCTGAAAGAAAAATAAATCAAGGAGAAAATGAACAAAAAAATTCTGGTAAAATACAAAAGTTTATGAATAATTAATAAATAATATTTAAGGTTTTGAGGTATCAAATACTTCATTATCAAGCCCAGAACAACCAAAATTTAAAAAACTTCGAAAAAATTCGATTTCCAAAGAATTGGAGAAAACAATAGAAAGAATTGATAATTTAAGTATAGAAAGTAATATAGAAAAAATTACTTGTGGTTAGTTAGATAATTTTAATAAGTTCCTAACTACAAGGATGGAAATTTTTTATTTTTTATAGAGGTATAGGTGTATAGCAGGTATGCTGTGGGTTAAGAAAAGGCTGAGGAATCGGGGTTCCAAAATTTACTTCTGATCGGTTTTCTGGTCAAAAATGTCAGGGGTTCTGGTATCCACTAACATTCCTTTTAGGGAGTTATTTTGGAAGGAAAATATTATTAGCGCTTTATATAAACATCTAGCAGTACATACATATGCTTTCTGTTAATATCATTAAAATAACTTCTTGAAAAATAGAGATAACCCCATTCATACATAGTTTTTAACGCTTAATGCGTTACTAATACTCTCGAGCTCTAATAAAAATTTATTCTAGCGTTTTCAAATGAAAAAATTGAAGAAATATTTACCATGATAAAAAAAGAAAACAAAAATATTTCACAAGAATTTATTATTAAATTCACTATTTTATGCAAGTCGGAAACAAAATTTAACAATTTTGTTGATTTAGTAAATTATTTATTGGAGGATGAAGTACAGATGAATAATTTAGAAACGAAATTAAAAAATTTAGTTGAAAATGTGAAAAACTTTCGTTCAAAAAATTACAGCGAGAATGAACAATCCAGTAAAATATTGAAAGAAATAATATTAATATCTCAATTTTCTACATATAATGGGGTTGAAGTGAAGGTTGCAAACGAGGCTTTTGATGATATTCTTAAAGAAATGGTTGTTAATTTAATATTAAAATTATAGTTCGACATCGGTCCGGGCCCGTAACGATGCTTCCCGTAAAGCGAGTATTTTGAAAGTCCGGTTTTAGTTTTCGAGGTTTAAACTCTGAAACTCCGGCACGGGCCAGTTTAAAGTTGAAAAATGGATACAGGTCCGATAATTTGAAATGTTGAAATATAATTTTTATTAATTTATTTCCTTAAGAAAATAATTTCCAAAAAATTATATTTTAGGAAGAGATGGAAGAGTTCCAACTAGTTATAAAATTTTTGCGAATTCTTAACTTTTGTGCTACAATAAAACATTCATTTGTAAAAACTAAAAGAAAGATATCAATACAATTTTGTGTTAATTATGTATTACCCAAGTCAAGGGATGTTTTATATTCAGTTGGCTTAGGATTTAATTTTGGGGAATTTCAAATTAAGAAGAAGGAAAGTATAAATGAAAGTGAAACTGGCAGTAAATTGAAAGTATCTGATTGGTTAGTGCCAGAAAAAGTTGTAGAGAGAAAGAAAAAAGCTAATTGGAAACCAAATTTAGGAGTGATTATTGAGGATTGAAAGTGATGGAAGAATGAAAGATGAAAGAAAATAAAAGCAAAAAATGAACAAAAAAATTTTAAGCTAAAACTACCTATTTTTAATTCGTAATGAGCGCATTTCCTTCATTTTATTATATGTATAATACATATATGTTTATTTTTGTCTATTGAAAAATAGAGATCCATGGCGTTAAGTAAAGCATTACAGTAACTAAGTTTATTGTTCAATTATTTATTGTTTATAGAATTAATTACATATTATACGTTCAAACTTCCCGCAACAATGAATTTGGAGTCTTAGTTTTATTAAAATTTATTTGTAATATGTTAGCAAAGACATTGACAACTGAAAAATAAAGCCCCAGACATTTGGCAATAATTTTTAAGTGCATTATTCGACTTTAAATAAAAAGTGCAATTTCATAATTAAATTGCCTAGACTTAATATGCTTGCACTTTCCAAAATTCATTGAGTAAATCCCGGCATTTTAATTGCTTTGATGTACATTAAAGAGAACCCGAATAAGTCGGTATTTTACCTTTGAAAATTTTTCTAAAAGGGCAAATATTATTTTAGATTTTAATTTACATAAAAGCAATAATAAATTTAAGTATTTTCATTTAAATTTTTATTTATTAAAATAAACTAATTTTATTAATGGTAATTGGCCATTCTACCATTTCCATATGAATTAAAATTACAAACAGCCTCATAATAGTTCTATGATTGTCAGATTCCAAGGTTTTATTTCAAGAAAGTAAATTTCATACTATATATTATTTGACATTTCTTTTGTTTGTACAACAAGCAAAATATCAAAAAATAAAAATTGACTAAATTATAAAAAATATATAAAAATATTATAATTATAAAAAACTATCATAATTATAAAAATTCACTTTTTAGCTTGATAAATGAATAGTAATTTAAATATTCTCCTTTCATTTTCCATAATTCTTTCAGTTTCCTTATTTGAAATTAATGCTGCGGATCCATGTGAGAATCCCTGTGTTGACAATCATCTTAAAGAGGAATGTAAAGGAAGTATGGAACATTAATTTATTAAATTAATCTTGAATAAATTTCAGTTTATGACGATGATAAACAATTAGCACAACACTATGCAAACACTTTCTTTGGTGAAAATGAAAAAGATTTCCTGAGAAATTATTCAGGAATTAATATAATTATATGGCATAGAAACATTGATTATAAATTAGCTAATAAATTAGAATGGAATAAAAACGCTCAAAAGTTTAGAGTTTGGGCTCTTGAAATTTGGGAAAAAATGCAGGATGAATTTGACAAGCATTATTGTTATTTTTTTGATAGGGATGTTAATATAGAAGATTTGAAGTCTATAAGCAAAAAAGTTCCTAAACTTTTTGAAAACATTTTTGATATAATTACTGGATTAAATAATCAAGCTTCCATAAAAATTAACAAAGATGTCGAAGGAAGCACTTTTAAGAAAAATTTTAAGGTCTGTCATTAAATTAGTGTATATTAGAGACCGGACTTAAGTGATCGATCGATAATATCGGTATCGGTCTCGAAAAATATCGACATCGATATATCAATATTTTTTTCGATATATCGTATCGGTCTGGTCTCAAGTGTACTTATATGTCAAGTATATGTAATTGAAAACATTAACTATATTATAACGTTTAAATAAGTTCTTTAACAATAGGGATATCTACAATGAATGAACATTCTTTAACCATGTTCACTAGGTAAGGAATCCTAAAATATCAATCTTTATTGCCAAGTCAAAATAATTTTTTACTTTAAAAATTAATTTTAAGAATAAATTACGAAGTTTAATTGACGACTTATACAAAATGATGGATGAAGAAAACGATATTGAATCTAAAGTAAATAGGTTGAGTGAAGCAAGATATAGTGTTTTCGTTCAATTGCTTCAAAATGGTGACTTGGACAGTAATTTTGTCACACAGTTTTTTCAGGGTTAATTTTTGTATTTTTTAAATTCCGAAATTATCGCATTAAAAATTTGCAGAATAGGGAGCTAGTTTACTCAACTCCGCAACACTGAGCACAATAAAGTGCAGCTGAGCTGTAAAGCAGTAGCTGAGCAGAATAAAGTTTATAATAGTGTAAAACTGTAATAATTAAGCCGAAATACATTTAAGAAAATCCAAGAAACTTGAAAATTCCATTTGATTAAATTAATAAAAAAAATTTTAACAATTAATTTTCATTTTTTACTTAAAGAAACAATCTCTAACAATCAACAATTATATTCAAGAATAGAAGAAACATTTGGATATGAGCATTCTCAGGAAATAGCTATTCGTATTGTAGAACAAAGTCAGGCAAAGCTTAATCTAGAATTGGAAGGTAAAAGCGACAGCAAAAAAGGTTACAACTATTTTTTACAAAATTTTAAGTTTAAAAAATTTTTTAAGAGGAAATAGAGGTTGAAGAGATAATTGATAATGATGAAAAAGATATATCATCAGGTATTAATTCAAAAAAACAAAGCAAGAAAAATAGGAAGAAGAACAAAAATAAAAAGCATTTGGATAAGAATAAAGTGAATGCTGTCGAAAATACTAAACAATACCTCAAACGTGATATTGAAGACAAAACTAAAAATAGCCAGAGTTTAAATAATGAAATAAGTGAAAGTTTCCAAGCGGATAGAAATTTTAATGAAGATAACCTTGAAAATGTTGAGGATAATGAAGGTTGGGTTCTGAATAAAAAGGATGAGATGAAACAGAGAAAGGAAGAGAAGAAAAGGAAGATGGAAGAGGAAGAAAGATTAGAACGGCTTAACAAATTGAAAGGAAAGGATATTGCAGATAAAATTTCATTTTCATTTAATAATATTAAGAAAATGAACTATAAGGAATATTATGATGCCGAAATGAAGAAGAATAATTTGAATAATGAAAGCATAATTGAAAATAAAATAAAAATAAATGAGGATTTGGAAAAAATAGACAACTCAAAGGAAATTAAAGATAGAAAACTATTTGTAAATCCAGCAATCAGTTTCAAGTCAATTCTTGATAAAAAGGATTCGAGAAATGTATTGAGTGAGAATAGTAAATTGAAGGAGGGAAATGAAGAAAGCAAGTGCGAAAAGGAAGATAAATTTAAAAATGATGAAAAGGAGGACAAGGCTCTTGTTTCTTCAAATAAAATCGTTAATTCATCAAAATTTTCTCCTTTCACTCCAATTAAATATTTAGAGGAGGATGCATTAAATGAAAGATATATGAGATTTATTTCAAATAATGAAGATCCTAGGAAGATTATTCCATCTTTAGACATTGGAGTTATTGTTAATGAACTTAATAAACGATTTATGCACCTTCAAAAAATCAGAATGAAGAATAACTGCCAGGATAAAAATGTTAATTTGACTTTCGGAGAATTTCAAGGTACTGATTTAATATCAGCAGAAAATGTTCCCTTCTCAAATTCATTTAGAATAAATTTTACATTGAAGCTTTTAACCCTTTATTTTAATTGGTGAACTAGAAAAATCTTGCTTTATAAATAGTAGAAATCGTAAA